GACGGGTTCGAAACCCGCCCAGGAGAGGGGGGAATGCACCTAGCAAGCTGGCTAATGCCAGTGGGCCTCTAGGCCCAGGTGCGCATGCCACATTTTGTTTATTACTTAAGCATCATTATAATTTCATTGTGTAGTAATAGTGCCTAAAACAATTTTATACTCTTCATCATTGATTTCATTACGAATAATAAGGATGACTTTTTCCCAGATTTTTCTCAATCAATATATAATCCCTACATTGAAAGATATCATATGAGATCAATGTAAATCTTAAAATTTGGGATATAATTTCTTATATGAGAAATATTATTGTAAAAATAGTCATACACATATCAAATGAATTCATAGATTTCCTTTACTTATTAAAAATAAATTTTTATTTATAGAGGAGACTTGATCTTAATATTCCTCCTTGGGATATATTTTTGATTTCTAAAGCTTTGCTTATTCACAATCTCAACATTGGGATGTATTTTCAAATTTTCAAATATTTGAGCTACCTTTCCCTAATATTTTCAAAATGGATATGAGATATCCAAGTTTAAAATGAAATTGTAGATTACAAGTGTATATCCATATTCTTGTTCTCTACAAAATTTATTTTTGCACATTTATTGTAACAAATTGAGCCAATGTTTAGATATGTATGATAGGTACTTGTATTGTTTAGATATACTAAAAATATGTAATCAATACTCATTTCATATCTATAATAAAAACTTTTAAATTCTTTTCAAACTCTTTTTTTTCATTTTTGAAAAATTTCAAGTTCATGATCACATTGATAACAATGATTATCACATGATGTTATATTCAAATTTTATTGACAACAATAAGACATACATTAACTTTGAATATATCTATTAAAATTGCCTTTTAATATTGCAAATGTTGAGCACATTCAAGCCATGTAAAGAAGAATTTATATTTTCTAATATGTCTTTATTAATAATATGTTTTTCCACTTGAACCAATTCAAAATATTTGTAGATTCATAGACTTAAGTAATAAATGGATCCTTTCATAACTAACTTTTCAAAGAATTTCAATTTTTTGTTTGAGTGATAGTACCTTCCAAAAGTATTTCAAGATTCTAAT